TTGCGACACGGAGTTATCCAGGGACCGCTGCGCCTGCTAGCCATCGGCGCCTATTTGCTTGGCCATTTTAACATCGCCATGTGAATCTGGAGCATGTTCATTCTCTCTCGCTCTGTTACTGATTGGCTCCGCTGCTGACACGCCCGACGCATTCTGCGTGTCTTCAGATGACGCTGTATTAGATGGAGGTGGCTCAGTGACAGCTGCGTCCTGACTCGTTGATTCATATCCGCTAGCGCCTTCATTCTCCCTCGGTGCTTCCTCTATTATGGCCTCCTGGCGGCAGATAGGACAAGTGCAACTGGCGCCTAACCACTTATCAATGCAATTCAGGTGAAAGTGATGCTCGCACGGAAGCACACGCAAAAGATCGCTGTGTTCAAAGTCGAATTGGCAGATAACGCATACTTTCTCCGCTATAATCGTCTCATCTTCAATACGCAAAGTTTCCAGTCGGCTGATCTCGTCACTAAAAAAAAAGAAAAGAAAAAAAAAAACTTCATTACAATGCAGTGCTGCTTTCTCGCTCAGCGCCGTGGTAAATGGCGCACTGTTAGACGCACAGTTCGAATATAATAGTGTATGTGAGAGAGAGAGAGAGATTAAATCCCTCAAAAAGTCACTTTCATGGTGACTTGTGACCAACGTGCCCAAAATAACGGGTATTGCATTCCCCTTCACCTTATTCCTTAACAAGACAACGACAACCTTGCCAACAGACGGCTGCTATTGGCAAAATGCTGCAACTTGCGCTTCCGTCGTTTTTCAAGAAGAGTCACATTCGGGTGAGATTTGGGGGTTGGACCTTGCGTGTGCATCGCCAATTCGGCACACTTGAGACCCCGTATCGTCTGAGCTTTCGAAATCTGCTCGGATATGACGAGATATGCAATTATGGATAGAAGGGATGTATCGCCCTACGTCCTTAGTCCGACGTGCTGCACCTCTTCCTTTCCTCTATTTAGCGCAAATTACAAGACAGGATTATGCCCCCACTTTTTCTACCATTGCTTGAGCTATCCATAGTTACTTTTATTCCTTCGAAGGCTATTTTTTTGACGCCTTGATAAGTTTAGTGCCCTGCCGCCTACCTCCATTTTCCGTGTTTTTTTGTCCGCCGTAGTGAAATTACGTTTCCCATCAGTCCATCAGAATGGTGTAGTGATGAGAAATATAAATCCATCAAAGCAGATAAAGAATAAATGGATGAGGGGTGGATCACTGGGCATGGCACCTCAAACATAACTGAAAAAGACCAAACTTTTGGTGATACTTTGTTGCTATAAGCAAAACCTGCCTTGTCATTCCTTGAGGAGCAGGAGCGACGTCGGCATGTACAGGCGCTTCATCGGCCAGGTGAAGCACTGCAGCTTCCCAGGCACGCATTTCCAATTCAGCGCGCAATTCCATCTCATACTGCTGTTGAAGGTTTGCCATTGCCAGGTTAGCCTGTCCATGATACTGTGTCCAAATGGTTGGCACTGCGACCGGTCCATTGATCTAAACCAATTCACAGATTACACAAAGTCAACGGGAATTTTGTATACTGTTATGCTATGAGCATCCTAATACTGCAATTTCCATGCACTGAATTATACTTCCTAAACATCATTCTTCTCCTGATGCACAGAAATTCCTCAGCATAACACATACAGTGAAATCTGCAGAGATATTTTGATTGTCATGCGCCATGCATAACCAAAATATGCGCCACCCGGTACCTGATTTACCCATATATAAGCAGCTGTACCTACCGCAAACGGTGAAGCCTCTGCCGGCTGTGCGTACGCAAAATTTGGATAAACTGGAAATGGTTGCATTGTAGGATTGTAGGCCACACCGCCTGCGACATGTGGTTGCATCCTGTAAAAACCCCATATAAATAGCCGCCAGGAAAAAACAGAATAAGTGAATGGAAGTTAATATATTCCATAGCGAATGCTTACATTGGATTATAAATATTCCCAACGGCAGGAAACATTAGGGGATGTCGATCTACTATGTCGCCAGCGAAGAACGGCATTTGATTTGATGGCAGTTGTTGTCCTGGAAAATGCAAATTCTGCGGCAAATAATGTACCGGCCCAGCTGGCATGTGCACGCCCATTACGTTCGGTATTATTTGTTGTACTGGCGGAAACTGATGCACATCCACCTTAAAATCATATCATGTAGGAACGGGAACTACTCTATGAACGGAAAATGTTAAACTGCAGCAAGGATGACAGTCCTTTAGTACGCCGACAATCATCCGGGCTGCCGCACAATAGCAGTGAAATAATAGATTCATATTTTTTCGAACTCTAAATTTCGAATGTATCCTCATACTCTGGTGATTATTTAAATAAGAAACCAACAACTTAAATTCTGTCCTACTGAAAGCATCAGTACTCAAATTAGAACAGTTAGGAAAGGATTCACCGGCTGCAGAGCTGAGTCGGTGCCGTTCTGGATGAACATCTGCGGTGCCTGGGCGTATACAGTCACTGGCAGCTGTAAAAACACATGAACTGCTGAATAAATTCTAAAGTTCATTGACGAACAAGGTTGTCACTGTCAGCGAGGCGTGTAAAAAAAAATTCTGCCCGTCAAATTTCACTTCCATGAGGCTACGCCGCGAACGGACTTGGTATAGTCGCAAACTTTCATGTCATTTACTATCAAAGCGACTCAGAGTGCCAATGTGGAGTTCCGACAATTACTAAAATGTAGTGCTGATTGTAGACAAAAGTGGATGGTGTAAAAACTCGATGGGACATATATGGTGAATACCATCGAATGCATATGTGTATATTATGTGAAAATATATACATATGTCCTTCTCAACTGCGAATTAGCAAACTGACGCGCATCAGCTTGCTTTTAAGCAGCTCTTAGAAAAGACAGCCATCGACAGCTCTTCCAGCTGATTTTTGTTGACATGTGCAACCTCCTCACTTCAAATGTTTAGCCCTTTCATGGAAAGTGGAAAACAGGGAAAGGAAGATAGAGGAGAGTTTCGATATCCTGATATGACAAGACAGCGTCACAAAAGTGTCGTGAAGCTGTATCACATTAACCTTTCAGAAAACC